GCTCGAAAAGTTTCTCTTATTTTGGAGATTTGGATTATATCTCTGATTCAGTGATTATCGGTATAAGTCAAGTCCAGCCAAGCACAAGCACAAGCACAATCAAGCATCTAAGCTACATCAACTCCACCGGTCACAATGCCTGATTACAGAAAAGGAGAAAAAGTCCGCTACAAGCCTGTCGGAGGTATGTCCTTCCTCAGTTCACCAAACCCAATCCAGGAAGATAGCTAGATGCTAAGCTCATTCTACCAGGCCCCGAGTCCAAGACCTCCGAGGCTGTCGGCATCATCCGCGAGGTTGCCACTCAGCCGACTCAAATGACGGGTCGCAATGTAGCTGCCTCGGACGAAGAGCCACGGTACACGGTGAGTTACTACTTCCTTCAGTGTGTTGCTGCGGAGCTGACGCTGACGTGGGGGGGAATAGATTGAGAATGCTCGTACGCATAAGCAGTCGGCTATCAAAGAGTCGAATATCTTGGGGCCTGAAGAGTAGGATGGTTTATGATCGAGGAGGACGCTTGGATAGACGAGGGAGAGGGGAGAAGGCAATGGTGTGTTTCTAGAAGGTCGATGAATGATCACTTGAATTATCAGGCCTAGGCAGATATGGGGTAGAATGGATGGATTGTCTGAATACTTTGCATAAGCTGCAGTAGCCGTAGTATATTGCTACATAAGGTACGCTGCCTACATGGCCGCATGGAACTGCTTATTTTCTTTGCATGTACAGATCCGAGCTTGATCGAGGAAGTGTAGCTAAATGTTATATATCGGCCGTGACTTTTTCACAAAATGTAGGGAGGTGGCTATACGGACTTCAATGCTGACACAATGTATCTCACTTCTTGGCTGATACTCTAAATGCAACGTAACTAGAACTAAGAGCTTGGCTGCAGGGAGTTAGCAACCCATGCGGATATATTAAAGCCCCAAGGTACTTAGTAGCCACCTTTCTCCGGGTTAACTGAATTAAATAATTATTCCAACGACATTGTTAGACTTTCGAAGAGCGTTATGATGCTATCATGCCAATATAATATTTTATATACAAGAATCGTACGTTAAGTGGTATTCTCGTTACTCGTTACATCGTTTGGACCTTCATCCTCAACTATGCCTCCCTATGGGTCTCATTGTTGAAAATAGACCAATGAAGAGAAGACATCTGCAGCATTCCCATTCTCGAAGTGCCATTTTGATAGTCGTGCTTCACAGCTCACCGGGCCAGATGTCGTTAGCAATTTCGCGAACAAGCTTCAGCTTGTTGATCATGCCATCCCAGTCAATCGCGTTACCCTCACGGTGACTGGCAAACCCACACTGGGGGCTGACACCAACTTGGCTGAGGGCCTCTTCAACGGTAATGTTGTTGCCCTCAGCAATGAACTTGGCAGCGTCGTAGACGCGCTTCTTCATCTCCTCCTTGTCCTCGAGCTTGGCGAACTTGCTGGTTACAACACCCAAGATGACGTTCTTGTGGCGAGGTAGTTCCTTTAGAGGCTCGAAACCACCAGCACGGGGAGTGTCGTACTCGAGGTAGTAGGTATCGACGTTGAGCTCCTTGAAGAGCTTGGTAGCGATGCGGTCATAGCCACCCTCGGAGAAGTGACGGCTACCAACGAAGTTACCGCGACAGATGTGGACACCGACGTGGAAATCTGCAGGACGCTTAGACAGCAGCTCGTTGTATTGCTTGACATACTTGTCGAAGGTCTCATCGGCAGTGGCTGTGTTCAGAGGATCGGCCTTCCATCCCTCCAGCATCTTCTCCGAGCAGAAGTCTGGTGTCTGGGTTAGATGTCTCCTGTGCAGTCAAAGACATGCGATATCCAGGGTTCTTACAAGCAAGGTTAGGGTCATCGAACTGGACGTTTCTGCAGCCGGCATCGTACAGGATCTGCAGTTCCTCCTGGTAGGCTTTGGCGATATCGCTCAGGTACTCGTCCTCGGTGCTGTACACATCCTTAGGGAAAGCCCTGCCGTTCTTGTACCGAAGGTGGTACCAGTTGGGAGCAGCAAGGGTGAGCTTCACGTTCTTGACCTCCTCGGGGGCCACCAGGCTGGCCAGGTGCTTGAACTGGTCGACATATGTGCTGCCAACGTGCTTGATCTTGCCAGTACAGATGACAGTCTCACCAGGCTTGTGGCCTGCTTCCAGGAACGCAGCAACATCAGGAGCATAGAGGCGGAAGATATCGGAGTCAAAGTCGGTAACCTCCTCGAAGCCCTCGAGACCAGGGAAGAAACTGCCCCAAAACACTGAATGGAAAATCAGATCAGCTTGATCTCCACGCATACCAGGAACCCTTACTGTGTCTGCAGTATTCTCCATCGGAAAGAGCGGGATAGCCCAGCTTCTTCTGAGTCTCGACAATATCCTTGATATCCCTGTCCTCGACAGCCTTGAGCTCGGCCGCAGAAGCCTGTCCCTTCTCGAACGCTGTCTTGACTTTCAGGAGCTCCTCAGTCCGGAGGAGAGAGCCAAGGTGCTCGGCACGGAAGGGCGGGTTACGGTGAAGCTGAGCCATGGCGAGTATACAGAATCTTACTGAGCTTCGCCACCAGAACTATGAGCTTAACAGAGATGAAGAGCAACAAGCACGAGGATGTTTGGAGGAAAGAAAGATCTCGGTGACAGAAAGCTGAGGGGGCAAATTGACCCCCTCCCCAGCACAGGGGCTCATGCGAAGACGATCCATGTATTCAATTTGCCGGTTCTTCAGTCATGCTCAGACGTGCCGATGACATCCACCTCACGAATCTCAGCCCCACATGTTGTGTCTCTCCACATCTTGAAGGTCAGGCCCGATGTCGCTGGAAAGAATGAGGTTTCATTGCAGCCAAAGGACTAGGTTTTATGGAAGTACATGAATCCAACTCAAGGAGTCAAGGGTGGGGCGCATGAAGCTCTCCAGGTTTCCTCCTACATTGGGCGATCATAAAGCAGGGTATAGCTCATGTAACCTGTCCGAGGTATTCCTGTACACTTGTCTTGCGAGGGTTGGTAAATGTAAATCCTCTTCCTAGTTCCTCCCATGTCAAGCATTGCGGAGACAGGCTCCACAGTCAAAGGGGTTTTACCGATTGCTGAGGAGAGTCTACACGTAGTAGATAGGAGAGTCCTGATATATCGCACACGACTAAAATATTCTGCTAATAATTGGAAAGTGGGGAGTTCCCACTGATGAAGTCCGACTTCATGAGGACAGACTCCGAGATCGACCTTCCCATCCAGTATCTATTATGGCGAGAGAGTATGGTAGTTGTACTTGTGGTATGTAAGTGGGGATCATTCGGCACTTGGTCCTTTTGTCTTCCCGAGAGACTGTTTGTCATCTCCACTCGCACTGCCTCCGCCGCCTCCAACGGTTCACTCGAACAGAGACAATCGACAATCGACAATCGAAAATCCATCTAGCTACACCGGCCTGACATCTCTTTTCATCCAATCCGATATGGAGATATGACAGTTTCACGCAAGTTGCGGGATCCGTCGTCATGTGAAGCTCATTGAGGCCACTGAGCGCTAACGCTAACTCCATAGTCAGCAACTCGGACCATCAATCATTGCTACAATGTCCGCAGAGACTTCGCCGTTTGAGTCGCTACCGAATGAGCTAATTGATGAAATACTCTCCAATCTTGCTATTGATCCTCCTTCGTGGTCTCGTTTCGACCAGCCCCCGTGCGTCCATATAGCCAAATCTGCCACCCGTGACCTCAAAAACCTATCGCGAACCTCCTCTCGCTTTCTAGAGGTCACGCGGCCGCGGTTGTTCGCACATGTCTGCTTTGATATCAGTGAGGGAGAAAGCTTTCTACAGTTTGTCCAGAAATGGAACCTGTGTCGAAACGTGACGTCCGTCCTGGCGCGGGGAAATACCGGTTCAGATCCTCAGGACGACCCCTCATGGTGGCGTAGGATTCTGCATCATCTCGATCCTCTGCGTATCACTCTTCTGGCGCCGCCGTCGTTTATAGCAGCGACTCTAGGAACCAAAATTATGGATGGACATAACTGGGCTTTCCAGATCTCGCTGCAAGAACTGCAATTGGAGAGGACTGAACGGCAGGTAACACCACCTCTGTTCTCGCATGTCGAGGCGTGCTCGGGCCTTCTAGCAGCTCGGGAGTGGTCATCGCTGCAGTTTAACGAGTCCTCCTCCTTGAAGGCATATAACCATTATGAGTATTTTCTCTTCCAGGTCCCTTCTGTGTTTAATAAATGGGGCTCGTTGTCCCGATCGCATCCAGAGAGTGTCTCTTTATCTCTCTCGCTCAACAAGTTGACAGCATTCCATTACACTGCAGTTTTTCCATTCTACAACCACGTCAAGCTAGTGCTGGATTCTGTGAAGTTGATGACGAGTCTGCGCTCGCTCAGTGTACGACTGGCACCATGCCTGAACGACAAGGCCACAGAGCTGGAACAGAGGGGCTCTATGGATCCAAGCGATCCGTGGATGGAGCTTGCGACGGGCTATACTTTAGTAGCACATGCAGTTCGGGACTTGGGAAACAAAAGTCTTGTACATTTCTGCGCATGTGACTACGAGTCTGACGCTCTTCGGCCGGAACTTTCTACTATATTAGCAGATGTTCTGGGTGACAGCGAATGGGCCCATGACGGACATGGGAACTGGGTTAGAGGAGCGAAAATGTGATCGAGTCAGTCTATAGGCGAATTTAATTTGCGTAGCGCTTGCGTCTTCTAGTGCATACCTATTCCAATATCGTTTATTTCGGAGCCTCAGGCATCAAGAACTCTATCCCACTACCGTAACCCGTTAACAAAGCCTGATGTTGAGATGTTCAATGAATTAATGCTCACCTGAACAACATGCCACACCCGTTCCTGCTTGGGTCTTGAACCTGCGATGGATTTGTTCATCCCAGAACCATCGTGGCGTAATATTGTCTCGTGGTCGTATGCCTGAGTTATTAAACCAGCACATAACGACATCGCACCACACGCTCTAGGTCTATATTCATATCAAAATGTCTTCATCGGGCAATGCCTACGCTGCGGAACCAGCCTATCCGATTCTGGCTCATACACTACTGTCCAGTCATACCACGACGTCTAGGATACCAGAGCAACCAGAGGAGTCAGATCAGTCATCTATCTGGAATCTAAGAAAGGACATCGAAGAGGCATTCGAAGGCCCATCCAGTGTTTTCCGCTGTGGCAGAGTAATCGGATTCTCGAGACTGAAGAAAAGAGTTCAAGAAGACGATGACCAGGATTTCATCGGCCAGGTAAGATCGTATCTCTTCCAATGTGAGCTGCCCAATGGCAGGTCATGAATCTGTATACACGACCCTAGAAGCCATCTCACGCACATCATCCTGAAGCATATACACATCTCCATCCTCTATATGTAAATACTTAGCTAATGCCCACAGCTCCCCCGCTACCTCCTCGCAAAACACCTCCGCAACACACCATCCTCCCCACAACCAAAAGCCTTCATAATTCATCCACCAACCTTCGACCCCTTCTCCCCAAAACAGCTCCTGACTTCTCTTCTTGCTTCACCCGCAACACCACCTCCCTCCCGCAACGAAGCAATAGCCCTCCTAGACCACGTCCAGCTCCTCCCGGTCTTCGACTTCCGCGCCGCAGTGCAGGCCATCCGCCAAGTCGTGGATGCCCTGCAATCAGCCTCAGTATCTACTGGGGAGGGCGAGCGCGAGGACCAGCCCACTCGCACACTCCTCCTCATCGCAGGCCTCGATACACTAACCGAGGATATCATCCGCGCCTCGAACCCCGTGAAGGGGGCTGCGGCGCTGACTGCCGCGCTGCGAACGCTGACGCAGCTTTCAAGGGCGCATGGCTCGAACCTTGCTGTGATGCTTGTTAATACGCGGGGACTTGGACCTGCGCCTGGCTTTCGCCCTGGGACTGGAGCCGGGGCTGGGGTTGAAAGGCAGCAATCGCGAGTGGACTTGCGGGTGCCGGTGGAGGATGAGGGCGTCCACTCTATGTTTCATGCGGAGACGTCGACACCGCTGTTGCCGAGTTTGTTGATGAGGACCCTAGATCAGGGTATTGATACGCATGTTCTGGTTTCGATGGTGAAAGAGGATTGCATTGTGGAGGTTATCAAGGATCGGGTGGGAGAGGGTGTGGGGAGGTGGTGTATTTGGGATGAGAACTCCGTGAACGTTTGATAGGGTCAAATTTGGCTTGCCATATCGGCCATATGTGATTCCGCTCTATCGTACAATATCTATCAAGTATACCTTAGGTCATACACTTTTCCCGGCCTGAAATCATGATGTACCATCCATACGCCAACGATATGCAGGATTCTCTTTTAGGCCACTTGCAGCCTGGATTCCTAGAAAACGGACCAACTCCATATTCCGTCCCAGCTTCTTGCGCAAAAGGGTATCAATCAACCACCAAGCGACTCACTCGTAGCGGGTATGCGAATTCTGTAGCAACCATCCTGCCTTATCTCCAGACAGGCGCGGCGGGAAACGACTCACTCGCCGCCATTCTGAGCATTTTCCTTTTCAGCCCACATCCGGAGAACGGCCCTTTCAACGACATTCTGGGCTTCTTTCTCGCATGTGGCAAGGTCTTGCTTCAGCTTGTTCTCTTCGAATAGAAGTTCGGACTGGTGAACCTTGACCCATTGCTTGTGTCTCTCGCAACGTTTCTTCGTACACACTCCACGGGACAACTTCGCTAACTCGTCCTCGTCCTCGTCTTCCGTCTTGGTGCCATTCATGGCTGCGTCGCCATCCGCATCGACCGCGTCCGGATAGCTGGAAGCAAGTGCTTCAGGAGTGCCCTCCTCGAGTGCTTTGGCTCCGAGCTTGGACAGTCTCCAATCATCGAACTCCTCGTCTGACCACGCGAGGCGTGTATCGAACCCACAGATATCCTTCCACCCCCCCTTTGGATCTGTTTGCTTCAGCTTCTCGACAATGCTCTTTGATCGCTGACGGATGAGTGTCATGAACGTCGAACGCGTGTTGAGCATGTCGCGCCGGTGGAGAAGTTCGTCTCGTTGTTTGCGCAACTGCTCGAGCTTTGTTGCCTCGTCGTGAGAATAGGTCAGGCCCTCGGGATCCACGTCCAAGCCCAGCTTCTTACTCGACCTTGCTCCTGTCACAGAGTCCTCCTCGTCTGGCGGCGGCGAAATAATGCGCTCTCCAAGTTTACGGAACTCCTCCGCAGAGGAGACGGCCATGACGACTGCGTGGAGATCACCAGTTGTAAGAACACCTCCTCTGCTGCCAAGCTCCTCCCATTCTTTTTTGGCAGGATCCTCGGAGGTTTTGTTGAGTTGCTGGATCCGTCGACGCATGAACTCCCGGCCGTGCTCGTCAGAGCAATACTTACTGGGGTTCTTTCCTGTCACACGAGCGGGTTTCCGACAACCCTTTAGTCGACACATCGGTTTCCACGTCGTCCATCCTTTGCCGTCCGCCTTGCAATTCGGGCCTGATGTGCGTTAGCTCACTTCAGAGTACAAGCTGTCTAAGCCGAGACTCACAGATGTATTTGTCTATCAAGTCCGCATCTTTGGGATCGATGTTGATGCATTTTCCATGAAACCAATCATCGCATCCCCCGTCACATGCAATCATCCACGTATGATCATCACCCTTGCGACAGATGCAGAAAACCCCGTCATCCTCCGACGAATCTTCCTCTGGCTCTCCCTCCTCTTCCTGCTTCTCCACTGTCACCTTCTTGGCATTCTTCTTCCTTTTCTTACCCTCGGGGGCCGGAGAGCCGGCGACAGATACGGATCCCTGCTTCTTGACTCCGGGCGTCTTGCTGGCACGTGTCGAAGAAGGGGTGTTGGAGCGACGGCTCTCCACATCTTCGCTCGCAAGTTCGTCTATTTTGCGTTTCTTTGTCGTTTGTTTCTTGGCTGTCCCTTTCTTCGATGCACCGGGGCCCGACTTCCTTCTCCCGGCTGCCTTGGTGGAACCAGACGGCGATGATCGATCTGTCGATGATGCTCTTGAGGCCAACTCGCTCTTGAGATCGGCGACTTTCCTCGGCGTCGGATGTTCTTCGGGCAAAAGGGTGCCGTCAAGTTGTGCGAGAGCGGGCAGGATCTCGGTTTCGTTGCTTGGGGGATACTTGTCCAACGAGGGCTGCAGAGGCTCAATTTTCACCTCAGGTGCAGCTGTAGTATGATGATCTGGGAGTCCGTTCGTCCCACCAACGTCTGGGATATCGTCATAGAGGTCGGCCCAGACCTGTGTTACGTTGACCCCGCCATTGTCAATGACGGGGCGCTCGGGTATCCGAAACTGACGATGTATCTGCTTTGCTCTCTCAAAGCCAAAGAACCCGCATTGTCGCCAGCCGAGAATGCCAACGATCCGGCCATCCTTGACCACGATATTCGACCGGATCATATCGTTGTGAACTAGGCAGAGCTGCTCCGTCCCCTTTCTATCTTGAAACAATATGTCCCTTTCGGAGTCCTCGACGCCCGGGGGTGATTGAGCGTTGAGTTCGCCGCAGACATACGACGCAGAATCCGGCGCGGAGTCGACGATTGCAAGGCGCTGAATAATCCGACGGCATTGTTGTTTGAAAGCGCCAATTTGTTCAATCGTGAGATACTTCCAGGCAACCTCCAACGACACACCGGGAATTCTAGACTCCACGGTAACATTCTTTCCGTCAACTGTGCCACAAAAGTATATGATGGGTGTCGCAACACCCAGTTCTTGAAGAGCATCCTGCGCCCTTCTAGCAGCACTCAACTCGTTCGTATTAACATTTGAATATCGTTCCGCAGCCGCACCAGCCGCAGGTTCCTGGTCGACTTTGATTAGAACGCTGCCAGCAGCGTATACCTCCCTTGTCCCAGGCACATTCAGGGAATTTTCCGGAGTGCAGGATGTTCGCACTATCTCCTCCCAATACGCGCTGGCTTCCGGTTCTGCCTGGTACCAACCATCGTAGCGGGGTTTGAAGTCATCGACATGCGGGGCATAGCGGCCGTATTGCGGGCTTCGAGAAAGAAATGGATCGGTCGGCGGAATCAATTCTGGATTTGTCTCGTAAGGATTCGTGCTGGATGGGTCGCGACCTATTGACCCGCTGACCTGCCTGGGCTCCGCAGGCGCGGTTGCGTCTCCAGCCATTGCAATGTGAGATCTTTGCACACGGCTGAAAAGAAAGATGTCGTGTTAAATGAGGGCAGAAGTATTCGAAAGGGGTCTGGATCATGTATACAAGCCGATGCGACAAATTCCACCGGAATTGTCCCAAAGAGAAAGTTTGCAGCTGAAGGCTAGGTGGTGAATATCGATCTCGCCCGTGAAGATGATAGCATCCTGGTAAGGCACTTCTCTCGGTAAAAGTCTAGAAGAACAGCAACTCAAAGGTGCTATAGTAGCGCACTCAGTCGTCGAGGGCTGGCACGAGTAGAGCCTTTCTGAACAGCCGTTTTGCTGAACAAGGACAGCGACCAGTTTCGGGGTGGATGCGGACCGGTTGAATCCAACAACAGTGGAACGACCGCAATCTCGCTGTGGTGCGGCAAAGGCAATTCAAATCAGTTTAAAAACCATGATTTATTCACTTGTGATTATCAGAATCTCTCAGAATCTTAGGGGTGGTAAGATCGCATGCCATCAACTGCGCGACCGGCGACGCGGCGAGCAGAATCGCATTCAAGGATTTGGCAGTCGGCGGCCGGACTTACTGAAGGCGGTGAGATTATCTCCGAGACGGCCCATAATGTCATGTGACACTCTTCCCTTCTGGGTATTATTATGCCTACCACTCTTTCCTTCAGTGCTTGTTCTACAATTGGAGGATTCAACAATCTAAGAAGGGATTATTATGGCCGATCCTCGTTTCTCACCTAAGGTCAGCTGTGACAGCGCAGGCTGACTACATTTCATGGATGACAGCCCAGCTGAATGAATCCTTCTGAAGGATGAGTTCTGGCGAAAGCTGCAGAGGGAGAGGAAGATTCCAGTCAGTCTCTGATGCGATTACAAGGGTTCAGGCTCCTGAACTGGTAGCCCTTTGCACAAGATACGGATTAACCGGAAGGCAGTGACTATGACTCGCTGTCCGAATCAGATTATGTCCAGCCGGTGTCTCTAGGTGAGGTCGAGGTATGGGGTCAAGGACCTGTGGCAATCATGGTTGTACTCAGCACGGCCGTCACATGTAGACGCAGTTGGCGAGTCCTGTCTGCCGTTAGCAAGGTCAGGAATTGTGAGCTTGTCCGTCGTCGAGAGCCTAGGCAGTACTAAGATTATGATGACCAAATAATACCAATTGCTCATCTCTTTTCCCGCTGGTTCTGTATCACGCAGAAACAACGCCGGGATCAAAAAGTGAAACATGCCAATCTCATGATGTTTACGTTGGCTTGGCAGGAATAATAGTAACACAGATGAAGAGTAGTATCCAGACTAGCGTATGGTGACAAGGTGTGTCTTCGGAATGACCCGTTGAACTGTCACAAAATTCATGGTCAATGTGAAGTCCTTGATCAAACATACGAGTGTTCTCACTCCTGCCAGGGTCTCGGTTCTCGAACCATTCTCATTAAAGTTGAAACGCCGATGAGAGACTTGGGGCGAGATGCTAAGCCACAGGCAGCACAACAACTAGTCCAATCCCGCACGGCTGAGGAGTTCCGACTGACGAGTAAGACTGAATGGAGCGATCAGGTGGAGACCATCAGAAAGGCATTTGACTTTCCTCAGGATTCAGCTCGTCTCTAGTCTACTTCTCTTCCATCTCTTGAGTCTTGAGTCTCGAATCTGGAGTCTCTTGTCTGCTGGTCCATCCCCACCTTAAATCCCCTCATATACCGGGACTAGGCGGGTGGGTGATCCTCAGAATTTGAGGACTGGACTGGACCGGCCGATCGATAACTACAGGACCATTGTTCGTCAGTTCCGCGATCCATTTGATTCGAGATTCCAATCTGACAACTTTGTACTGTGGAGAATAGTCCCAAGAATTGAGACGTTGGCTTGAAGCTGAACCAAAGCACCGCAAAGTCAATACTCTCCGTCGGTCTTTATGCATGCGCTGATCGCCCACTTGTCGCTTTTCTGATGTCGAGTGCGCTTTCAATTCCTGCATAGAATTCAATCCAGGTTTCGCTGTTTTTCTGAAATCCCCAGTGTTCTTCGTTTTGGCCAGAGGACTGCTCAGCTAG